AAATACTGGTTCTACCTCATTTACATAAAACACGATCCTGAAAAATCATTTTGGCAGGGAAATGAGAAATTAAAGGAAAGCTTATTTAAAAGTAAAATAATTAAAATAAAACCTTACAAATTATTTTGTCAAAAGTTTCCGGATGTAAATTTCAATATAATATTTATCTTCCAATATTACTGCTCTAACGCTTTTAAACTAAAAAGGCTTTTCTATCCCTAAGCCTCTTACTCTTTGGAGGAGGAGATATGTAAGATAAAGAAATATATAAAGCAATATTAAAGCTTTAACTTGTAATAGCCCCTTAACTTACTATTTTAGCAACGATATTTCTCCTTTCCATTCTAATCTACTTTTAACAAGTCGCTCTAAACTCCATCATTTAATTAGGTTTTTATGCATCCCTATATCAATAAATTATAAAAAAAATATGTTATATGTTTAAAGTAAGAAAATTTTCTCATTGTTCATTGCCGACAAGTTCAGAATGCAGAGAAACAAATGTGAATAAAATAAAATCAGTTACGATAACCCAAAGCTGTTAAAAATATGGTAAATCAAGAAAACATTTATTTGTAACAAAACATAGGTTACTGTTTGAAAACCCAATTTTAATTTCAGAATTATATCTATTGTACATAACATAAAAATAAAATTAATTCAAACAAAAAATAATTCTAATATGATAGCATTGAATATTACAATGACATATTTCTAAGGAAAAAAATTAGTAATAAATTAAAAAAAACAAAAATTAGCACTACAAGGTAAAAATTCCTATAATAGTCAATTTTAAGCTTAGTAATAAATTAAAAGGCGAAATCTTTGTAACATAAGGTAGATGCTTTTTTCAATCTGATGTGAAATACATATATAGTATTAAGACACAATAACACGCCGAATAAATACTAATTCAGAAGTCAAACAACAAAACCGTAAACCTTCATCGGTTTGCCTTCCACCACACTTTAAATCATGTCATCCGACTAAACCAAAGTTATCTAGCATCATTTTATTCCTATGTTTTCTGTGCACTTCACAGTTTGCTCTTCCAAACTAGTCTCTTGATGAAGAACTAAATTATTTAAAAGCAGCAGCTATTGACAGGGGCTTTGAACCCAACATCATTAAATCAAGTGGTTAAAAAATTCTCCTCTCAGCACATCTAAAAGGGACACTCTTGTTTTAGGAGATTATAAGAATTCTGTTGTCATTCCCTTCTTTCTATCAATTAGCTATAAAATTGCATGTATTTTACAGAAGTTTAACTTTCGGGTCGTTTATTCTCCCATCAATAAAATTCCGACTTCTGTACTCAAGGACCCCATCCGGATATGAATTGTGGGGTATTTATAGGATTCCCTGCCAGTGTGGGTTTAATTTACATTGGCCAAACTAAGAGAGCCTTAAATTTCGCGTCAATGAACATGAGGATATGTTAGAAAAAAGGAACACAGAAGTCTTCTGTTGCTCAACATGTTGGTCCGAAAAATCCACTTTCAATTTTTCTGCTGCCAAAATTATTCAAAAAAACATCTCCATTGGAGAACTGTATTTTTAGAGGCATTTCACATTCCTAAAAATCTTTCTGTTCTAGTTAACGATCCTAATTCCAATCCAAATTTGCCTTCGGCTTTTAGACAAATTAGTTTTGTTCTGGTTTCGCCAACAGATGGCGCCACTTATTCTTGTCCAGGCTTTCTTTCTATCTAATCATTATTTCCTATCTTGTCATTTGCGGTTTTGCAGCTGAAGATGGTGGTCGGTAAACCATCGAAACTAGTCCTGTGAAAATTTTGTAAATATAACGCTGATTTTTGTTGTTTGACTTCTGAATTAGTACATATATAGTATATTATATAAACGAATATTATTTTTTATAGGTGATGAGAATGTTTATTTCAATTCTGGCCTTAAACGCAGTGTTATTTCTTGGTATAGCTGAAGGTGGAAAAATGAAAGAAAAGAAAAGTGATATAATGCAACTTTTAGCAGCGGGCCTAGTAGTTAAGTTGCTGCAAGAAAGAAAACATGGAGGACATGGAGGACACCATAAGATAATACATATATCGATACCTGTGCCGATGCTCATAGTGGCAAATGAAAGAAAGAAAAGTGATATAATGCAACTTTTAGCACGGGCCTAGTAGTTAGGCTTTCCGAAAGAAAACATATGGAGGACATGGAGGACACCATAAGATAATACATATATCGATACCTGTGCCGATGCATCATAGTGGCAAATGAAAGAAAAGAAAAGTGATATAATGCAACTTTTAGCAGCGGGCCTAGTAGTTAAGTTGCTTTCCGAAAGAAAACATCATGGAGGACATGGAGGACACCATAAGATAATACATATATCGATACCTGTGCCGATGCATCATAGTGGCAAATGAAAGAAAAGAAAAGTGATATAATGCAACTTTTAGCAGCGGGCCTAGTAGTTAAGTTGCTTTCCGAAAGAAAACATCATGGAGGACATGGAGGACCAAGATAATACATATATCGATACCTGTGCCGATGCATCATAGTGGCAAATGAAGAAAAGAAAGAAAAGACTGATAATGCAATTTAGCAGCGGGCCTAGTAGTTAAGTTGCTTTCCGAAAGAAAACATCATGGAGGACATGGAGGACACCATAAGATAATACATATATCGATACCTGTGCCGATGCATCATAGTGGCAAATGAAAGAAAAGAAAAGTGATATAATGCAACTTTTAGCAGCGGGCCTAGTAGTTAAGTTGCTTTCCGAAAGAAAACATCATGGAGGACATGGAGGACACCATAAGATAATACATATATCGATACCTGTGCCGATGCATCATAGTGGCAAATGAAAGAAAAGAAAAGTGATATAATGCAACTTTTAGCAGCGGGCCTAGTAGTTAAGTTGCTTTCCGAAAGAAAACATCATGGAGGACATGGAGGACACCATAAGATAATACATATATACCTGCCGATGCATCATAGTGGCAAATGAAAGAAAAGAAAAGTGATATAATGCAACTTTTAGCAGCGGGCCTAGTAGTTAAGTTGCTTTCCGAAAGAAAACATCATGGAGGACATGGAGGACACCATAAGATAATACATATATCGATACCTGTGCCGATGCATCATAGTGGCAATCATAGTGGCCGATGCATCATAGTGCAGTGAATTCTATCAAAAATATATTTGAACGATGCAGAGTATTAAAATAGCATTAATACTAATGCAAATGTATGCGTTTTCAAATGGACATTCGTTTTCTTTTAACAACATTAAGAAAATTGTATATATGTCTTAATATATTTTTTGTTTGTATAATTAACTATTATATATGGTTTTCGTAGCTTATTTTATTGTATTTTTACGTTTCCAATTTTTTTATATGGACAACTGAAAACTGTTGTAGGATTATATCATATACAAATAAAGTAAATTGTGATAAAACATGTATGTGATTTATATGTGGTGTGGTTAAAAAGAAAGATGACAAATAATATGTTCTGCATTAAACTCCAGGATTAAAAAGTGGTAATTAATAGTATTTTTATTATTCAATACATTGGAATACGATTTATTAAGATAAAATCTCAGTGTATTGTTTGTTCGCTGATAGTAACAGCAGGACATACACTAATTTTCACCGCAGCATAAAAGTTTTGAAGGTAAAACTACCTTCTTTTCCTTTCTTTAAAGAGCTTTCTATAGGGACTAACAATTTCCATGGTCACCAAGTTCGGTTTAGTGTCGCCATCTCTTGACTAAAACTACAAATAATTTCAAATTTTCAAAGTTTGAAAATTTCGCCTCCTTTCCTTTGTCTTTGAAATGTATTTTTCTCTTTGCTGTATCATTGTAAAAATAATCTACCAAAACATTCCATCGTCAAAAAGAAGAAAATAGAATTACAGATGTGTATAACCAACTTACGAATGCAAATTTGCACAAATTATGAGTTCTATTTCAACTTAAAAAGCTCCTTCCTTCCTCATAACAATGTCAAAATGTAGTCTTAAAATTACAGTAATTAATCTGATTCCAAATATCACAACTTCAATAACCCAGATTTTCCTTTTTTTTCCTAAATGAAATAAAATTCAATTTCTTAATAGCTCTTTCAACTGTTTTTACTTTTGTTTGTTTATTTATTTAGTTTTCATTTTTAAGTCTCTCGTGTATTTATTTACACTAATATTATTACACTTGCTAATTTAACTCATTATAAGGAAATCTTTGAAGAAGTTAAGCAGTTTTCATAATTTAATGTTTAGGTCAAATGAAGTTTTTTGTTGATCATATGTGTGCATTTTATTTAAACTTCTGAAGCTCTGGTAAACAGTGGTGATATACAGGGACAGTTTGCAAGCAAATTTAAGAAAAAAAAGTTGAAGAAAACTTTATCACATTTATATCATTACATTTATATCATTACAAAGTTTTATTGCATTTACATGTAACATTTTGGCTAGGTGTTTTATAAACAAATAACAATTAATTTTACATCAAATATAAATTTACTTTAAATTGCATTCATTTAAACAGAATATTTATTAAATCTTTCAAAATTTTCATGACAGAAAGCCATTTTATATTCAATATATAGAAAAACGACAAATAGCATAAGGGAAAATCTACCGATGCAGTATTTTACATTTGAATCCGTTACTAAAATTCCGTCTATTCTTGTGTTCAGAAAATTCCTAAATATATTTCTGATTAACAAGACAAACATTTCCAAAAATAAGGTTTTAGTGTGATAGTACATAAGTATTAAATTAGAAACACAAATTGTTATAAATGCATTTGGACTGTTTTTTAGGAAAAATTAATTGTAACACTTTAATTGTGTTCAAAATTATTAATTTACATTTATTAATTCGAAAGGAAAGGTATCAATTAAAAAATTCTCTGTTTTGACGAAGTCAGCCGATATAGTTCGACGGTCGCAAACGCAACTTTGGTTGGCAATTCTTCCGAAAACACAGTCGTTCAGAGAGAGTGTTAGTACTTACGTGCTGCTTGCTGGGTGAAGGGTCACATGATTGTCCTTTTTTTTTTTTTTTTTTTGTGGGAAAAAGGGAATTTGCTACCGAAGGAGATGAACTGCCCTTGTCATAGGGGAATCCTGCCCTCGCATGCTTTTCTCACTTTTGGTTCATATGAGCAGAAATTTAGATTCATATTAATTTAAAACCTGAAAACGAAACTTTTGAATTTTTGTTTTCATAATTTATGAACTTTATATGAACAATGCATATTCCATTTCTTCGTTAAAAAATAACATCACTAAAAACAATGGAATTGTATTTATTTAGCAGAAGTACTCTTATTTGGGTATAGAAAGAAACGATCAACATGTTTTCAGTTTATTTGAGTGGGGTATGTCCAGAAAAAAAAAAAGTAATGGATATACATTTAAGCTCAAAGATAAAACATATATATAAAATAATGAATTCTAATAGACCTATAATAATTATTTATTATGGTAAAATTATTATAATTAATTGCAATAATATTATTAGAACTCATAGCACTGCTAATATAATGATGTAATCATAATAAAAATTATTATACGATAACAATTACTTATTGCAATTTGTCATTAAATTATATATATGTATGAAAATGTACAAAATTAATGTAATGAAACAGTTATTCACAAATGGTGATCATATTTCAGCTTAGATTACTTAAAAATAATTTTTGCTTATTCTGTCCTCTTTGAATGCTGCGAAAATAAACACGGAGGAAAATAAGAAGGCAAAATTCGCTACCGTGCGATTCCCGGCCATCTTCCTCATTTCATGAATCAGTCAGTCTGATTGGCGCATGCGTGTTTGCGCTCATGGTCGCAGCTGCGGCGGTTCAACTATATAGGTATAGGTAGAGGTGGATGGGCACAAAAATTTCCCAATTGGTTGTACAGGTGTAGTCCCGCCGCACTAAGTATGCGAAAGAAATGTTTTGGAAATTTTCCTCAAATTTATGATGTTATCGATGCATCGAATCCAGTCATTATACTTCCTGAAGTTTGAATGTCGCACACATTTGAAATAAATTAAATTGATATGAAGAAACAGATGTCGAAATTAAACTTGAGTTTAAAATGGTAAAGAATTACGTATTTCGAAAACATAAAATGATTAAAATATCAGAATACTCTTGTCAAACAAAGTACTCTTATTGTGTTCTGTAATTTATCACATACACTAATTTCTTTACCAAAGACAATAATATTTCAAATTGATTGTTATTCTTCTGGCAATCTAAAATTTAGGTCTTCGTTGAGTTATTTGATCCTGACTGCATTATGCAATTAAATGTCGTCTGATATAAACAAAACTAAAGAAATAAAGTATAATAAGCAATTAAATGTCGTCTGATATAAACAAAACTAAAGAAATAAAGTACAGTAATAAGATTTGACACTATTAGGATTTGGATTGTGAGAAGTAAAAAAAAATCAAACCATTAAAAATCAGTAAATATTGCAGTTAAGGAATATTCTATTACTGGTTTGTTCATGGAGAAATTCGACTAATTTAATAAGGCATAATTAATTTGAGCAAAATGTAAAGAATAGTTAGAAAACAAAAGCCATACCAACTAGTTACTTTCTTATTGTAATTTCATTAAGCCTCCTAGACAGTGTAGCGGGCACTGCCGATGACTGCCGTGAATATGAACCAGGGCTCGAATCTCGGAGAAGGCATGGATGTTTTGTAAGTGTATAGTATCTGTGCGAGAAGGAGACACTTGAAAGGCACAACCAGCCGAATTTTCCATTGAGTGTTTAATGGGGAGAAGAGGGCTAGGAGACTCTCGGATCCTCTCCCGGGGCATTCTTTCTCAAAACTGGGAAGGAGCTGTACGATTAGTACAGTAGGAGTGTACCTGTACAACTTGTGTGTGGGGGGGGAATTCTTGTGATCTGCCAACTTATAATCGTAATTTTAGTAAAACAACAGTGAGAACATGCATTTCAGTTTTGTTCTACTTTTTCTGTAACAGGTTCAAAGACGCGAATATGTCCTTGCTAAAAATCTTTTAAAATCCAAACGTTCAATACAGAGGCAACAATTTTCAGTTACTGAAACATTTTAATATGCATGAAGATTACAGGCACATTTTTCAGTATTGATAGGAATTCAAAGTACAATACATAGAAGTCGACTATACTCAAAATTAAAACTTTAAACAAAGAATCGGTGAAAGTGACAGTTACGATAGTTCAGTTTCTGATATCCTCCCCTTTATAGATTCAGAGATTTATAACTGAAGCTCAACAACATTTAAATTCACAGTTTCATTCACTGTCTCTTTTCATTGAGTGGCTCTCGAAGGAGTTGAATTGCAGCCACAGGCATTGGGTCCCTATATAGAGCTTCGATTTTGTTTAAATCATTGAAAATTCATTCTTCATACGTTAACTGAATTTCATAAGCAATAAAAATACAGTAAAACATTCAGTTCCACATAGCCTTCCTTTCATAATACTTTCTTATAGGATGAAACTTAGGATAACTTATGAGAATAACAAAAACAAATCAAGTAACTTTTAATGAGTATAAAAAGGCAAAATTATTAATTTAATTATCGTATATATTGTAAAAATATACTTGTTTACTCATATTTAAATAGTTTTAGTGGATCTGGATATTTAAAAAGGCTTAGCAGTTTGGCAGTTGTATGTGCTTGCATGTAGAGCACCTGAATGTAAATTGCTGGTCTCTGTTAGGTGTGAGCAATGATTTTAACCTTGAATATATGCAACCTGTGATGTTGACCTGTTTCACAGATGTCACTGAATGACTCTCATCTTTTATCATTAAATGCATTCTTATGTAAAATCAAGAAAATGCCCACAATAGGTCTAATTTCGGAAACATAAATTAACATATTTTAACGAAATTTGGTATGAATATGCATTTATAACAGAGAAAGAAATCTTCCATTCAAAAATCATTTCATGTCTGCATGATTATAAGCATTGCTCATAGTGCAGGGACATCCAAAATCCACGTTGTGATATCGAATTGAAAATGAGGATCTCATTTTACATCCAGACATATCTCGCAGTCACGTTGTCGATTCTACTCCTGCAGCAATTTTCAACTCCGGGGAGGTTCCCGGAGGAGGATGGCAAGATGAAATTGCTGTTCCAGTAGAGTCCCAGATACGCTCTCTAGGGTTCAAGTCTGGCTGGCCAATTCCTGCGGCGAATATCCTCACTTTCCAGATAAGTGTCAACCAGCGAAACTCTGTGTGGAAGAGCATTCTTTCCATTAACAGGAATCCAGAACCAACAGGGTCTCTGAAAAGTCGAACATAGGACTCTACGTTCTCCTTTGTATACCTCGCAGCAGTCAGAAGTTTGTGTCAAACACATTCAGCACCGTGTGGCAGTCCAACACAAAGCCTGCCTAATCCATTACATCTCCGCCACCGAATGATCCTTTTCCCTTATGGGGGAGGGACGGTATTTTGCTCCAGGCTCTCTCCAAGTATGGGTATGCCGAGAATTAGTGTCCAGGTTGACTCATCTTGAACCAAACTCATCTGTGACCTGACTCATCTGTGGAAGTTTGGTTCAAGGCACATATTGTCTGCACCATGTGAAATGTTCTGTCTTGTATGCTGCTGTTACAGGAATGCAAACATATCGTCTTCTACCATATCCTATAAAGTCTTCAGGAAATTGTAGACTCTTACACTGTGGCTCCAGTGGCAGCACACAGCTCACGTGCGAGCTGAGAAGCTGTAGCAGTACTTTGTCTTTGCGCTGAAAGTGTCAAATAACGATTCTCGTTCGTCGTTGGGATTCTTCATCGACCAGGACTTCTCCATATTAATAATACAGTGTCTTGAAACTATTTACGCAAACTGCACATGATACTGGGTGTTATTTAGAGTTCTGTAGCCACCTGCTGCAATCTGCCGGACAGTTCACCATCTCATTCGATCATTCATACATTTGTAGCTTCATTTTACGTGATACCTTACAAAATTTAGCTAACATTTAGTCTGTTTCAATTATGTGTCTGCCTGATTTTATGGTTTAATATTTTCGAGGTGATAATTCACCATACAGAACATATGCAACACCAAAATTTTATTGTATTGGCCCAGCTAAGGTATGTGGATCCCATTATATGGGTTGTGTGATAAAGATTTGAAAACAAACTTAAAATAAATTTTGTATATATGTATGTGATAAAATCAAACTCAGAAGTAATGATCAACAGGAATTTTGATTGCGTAGAAATGTTGATCCAAAACGAATAGGAAATTGGAGGCGAAGGCATATTAAATCTTCATTTTTTTTATTTCAGGAAACATGTTGCGGCCACAAACAAGTTGGCACATTAATTGTGCCTATTCAAAAAAGTATACATTTTAGATAAATTTGCAGTAAGAAACAAGGAACAGACATACTGCAGTCAAGCTAGGCGAAAAGGTAGAAAGCATGTTCAGGGTGAAATCTTAATATAGACTGAGTAAGTTTTAGTTCTCATTGAATTTTGATTGGATAGTTAATATTGCTATAAAATTACTATTGGCTTTTTGAGTTTTAGTTCCATTTACATCATCAGAATTACGTTAGAATCATATGACATAGATTAGTCTCGAAATGATGCAGTGCAAATAGAGATTACTATTTTTAGGATACAGAAGGGAAATTAATTTACGTTGCTACTTTAATGTTTTACATTTTTTTTTTTCTTACGGTTATAATTTAGTGAAAATACTATAAATGTAGTACTTTTGTTATTGTAATATGAAGTCTCAAGTGGAATATATCGCCAAAATAGGTGCCTTTAAGCTATTTAAATGGCTAAATGACTATCTCGCCTTGGGCGAGATAGTCATTTATTGCTAGCTTGGCGCTATTCTCGCATTTGGCGAGATAGCGCCAATCTAGCAATAAATGACTTTGCGGATAGCGCCGAGCTAGCAATTTTTTTCAACTAACTTTTCTCATCAAGTTTGGCGAGAAATCGCCAAAGGTCGCCAACCACGGTGACCATTTAACAACATTTTGTACTATACCTATGTAACAGTAACTGTATCCGACCTTATATAACTGTAATTATGTATGACAGGAAATGTTTCGGCAAATTATATATAAACTATATATGAAACTACAAAAAACTTGAGAGAGTTTCGGTTTTCAGTTGAGTTTACAATTTAGCTCAGAGTATTAATAGTAAATGAAAGATCATTGTGCGAGCTTATACACTTCAGGCTTTTTACATTGTCTTGTGCTCAAC